CGACATGTTTTTTGCTTCAAAGCCAAGTGATTTCTTTAATCAGGTCATTAACAACAGGATTGTAAGATGAAAAGCATCATTGATAAGAATGGAGACTATTTATCTAATAAATGTTTTGTTTGACATATATGTATGTTGTTCGGTTTTTCATCTAAAAAGCGACATTAATTTCTTGAAGACCTAATATATTGTTACGTCTCCGTTCGTTCGTTAATTTTCCGTAAAAATTCTTACCGAAGAAACTTTACCGATACAAGTCCTTTCTTAAATAAAACTGGTTTATTCTTTCTGAATACAATTTTGCGATACACTTAATTTCAACAGTCGCTCTATGACAAACGCTGTAATTCACAACGAACTTCTCACGTGCTCAACAATATTCTCTCTGTCCGCAGTTCAATTACTCATTCCCCTACGTTGTTTCTTGGCCGGTCTTATATATACAAGACTACCCCAATCTAGTAGTCTTCCGACATTTCATGAAGGTTCGAGAATGAAGTGGCGTGATACAAGCGTCACGTGACCTCTGCTGTCGTAACAATATAAAGCGACTAAGGTAAAGAAAACGTTTTGGCGACTGGCAGTTAAGGAAGGTAGTAATGAAGATGTGCAATTTGTATGTAGAGTTTGTAGGTTGTAGGAGAAACTGGAGGCTATCCTAGAGGCAAAAGATAAACAGAAGTGTAGACTGTGGGAAATGGCAGCAGGATTTCAAGAGAAGCTTAAGCTTTTACAGACAAGGAATACATCAGCTAACAATGACTTTCAGGAAGCTAGAAAGAGGGCTATTAGGGTTCAAAGAAATGAATTTAATTGTAATAAGCCTTTTCTTTTGAGCAAAAAATTGAGCCCTTGGCTTGTGCAGACAAGTTACTATTGGAGGAAAGGAAAACAAAAGGGTCAGAGAAGGCTGTGGATGATATGAAGGTTATAGTTATAGGTGATTCCTTGACAAGGCATGTGGATAGGATAGTCTGTTGGGTAAATAGGGAGAAAAGAATCAGATTATGCTACGCAGGGACACAGGCGGGGATATAACTGACAGAACAGGAGATATAATACAGGGGGCTAGCAGAGATACAGTTTTTGTGGTGCATATAAGGGTTAATGATGTTGTGAAATGTGGGTCAGAGGATCTAATTAATAAGTACAAGGGGTTGATAAAGGCATTTAAAGAAAAAAGGACATAACTTAATTTTGTCAGGGATGCTGCCCATAATTAACTGTGGGAATGAAGTTATAAGTAGGTCATTAGGGCTAAATGCTAGGCTTAGGTTAGTATGCAAGGATGAGCAGATCGGCTGTTGGACTTGTTGGAGCAGTTCAGTGGAAGAAGAGAGTTTTTGGAATGGATGGTTTACATTTAAGTAAGATAAGGTCTGGTTTGTTTGCTACTGCTATTAACCCAGCAGTAAGGGAAGTTTTAAACTAAGACTAGACAGTGGTTAGGGCCAGAATAAATTAAATGCAAAAATAATAAGACACGGAAAAAAGTTTAGCATAGGAAATTAGTATAGAAGTAGTTATAAGGCTAGGCTTAATTTTACTATTGTAATACTAGTAGTATAAAAAATAAAATAGATGACATTAGAGCACTGGTAGGATTGGAGGATTTTGATATAATGGGAAAAATTGAACCATGGTTAAACGTAGATGATTTTGATGACAGAAATTTCTTTGAAATACAGGGTTACAGGCTACTTAATAGGAATAGAGTACTAAAGAGGGAGGAGGAGTGGCTTCATATGTAAAATGTGAGTTACATCTTGTTGAAATTGAGGATATCAAAGATATTAGCATGGAGGTTGAATTCATTTGGGTTTCTATTAGTGGATATAAAGGGAAAAGGCTTTTAGTGGAAATTTGTTATGGACCACTAAATGATATTGATAAAATTAGTGAGATACTTTACAATGAGATTGAAATTTCAGCTGTTAATGAAGTCATAATTATGAGTGATTATATTTCAGGCATGTAGATTGGGAAATGCTAAAGTCAAACCATAAGGGAGAAAGATTTGTGGAAACTGTTTAATATGGCTTTCTTCAGCAATCAGTCAAGGAACCTATTAGAAACAATGCTATTTTAGATTTATTGTTAACTTCAAATATAGAAATGGTCGAGAGGATGGAAACTGGGGAACATCTGGATGGAACTGATCATTGCTCTTTAGGTTCAGTGATTTGCTGCATATTCATAGTAAATATTCAAATATTTCTTATAAAAAGAAAAGGCTAGCTGCAAGTAAAAAACCAGGTTGGCTCACAAAGTGTATAAGAGATAAAATTAAAGAAAAGCATCAACACATTAAGAAATTTAAATTGACTGATATGACAAAAGATTGAGAAGATCAAGAAAGTTGGTGAAACAGGAAATTAGGACATCGAAAAGGTTGGCTGAAAATGTAAAAATTAACAGTAAGGATTTTTTAAATACTGTTACGTC